GAGCACCCTCGCGTGCGGATTAACTTATTACGGTTGTGCGCTCGCGGTAGATGACGGAAGACACGAACGCGAACGCAAACGCGTTTCTGTCGTGACGCGGCGCGGAACGAAGCGAACTGGCGCCTGGCCTGGTCTGGCCTGGGCTGCAAATTGGCGTTTCGCCGTTTCGCGGGAACGCCGGAGCGATGGGCGCCACGCCGCGCTGCTATCCTCGTCACCGATTGGTCGAGACGCGCGGCACAGCTGGCGCTCAGCTGATCCGCCGTACGCACACCTACTTACGTGCAAGTGTGCAGCTTGCAGCAACACACGACGATTGCACCTGATTGCACCGCTGCTACCGCGGGAAATGTGCGCGCGTAAATCGCCATAAATCGGCGCGGCGCGGGCTTTTCCTACTTCCGTAGGCAGACCAAACGAGAAACTTGTCTGTTGCCAGTTGCCACGTATCCAACGCGCCATTACCTGCCTGCGCGCGATATTGCATTATTAAGTACTTCGCCTCGAAAATGTCGTGGTGGTTTTCACTCTTTTTTCCGCATAAATTAATCAAATTATCACGCGCCTACGACACTGGTATAATGTACACCTCATGTTATGCGATCAACAATATAGAAAATTGAAAATATCTTTTAAATGGATGCGCAATAAATGAATGTCTAAATAGTGGGATATTTCAAAAGCAGTCAAAAATATCCCACAGAATACAAACGAATAGTAACATTACGTCAATATATTACAATTTTCCACTCAATAATATAACTCAATAACTGCAATAATATAAAATAACACAAGTATTCAGTAAATGAGAATGGATTAAAATGAATTGAAATTTTGTCTATCCGAATGCGTATTTTAAATAGCGAAAACTTTTTTTTGGATTCAATTGGATTCAATTAGATTCAATTGGGTGCAATTGAACTGAAAAACTGCATTTTCTATTCAAAATTTTGAATTGAACAGTAGTTACGATGAGTAGTGCACAGAAAAAAGCTGATATCATTTTTAGATTGAAAATAGACATATGCTTCATGCAATTTCTATAAATGAATAAAAATGCATTCAGGATTGAAGAGGCATAGACATTTGCTTCATGCAATTTCTATAAATGAATAAAGATGCATTAAAAATTGAAAAGCATTCATTTTAATATTCGTGAATCCGTATTCCTGAAAATCTGAATCCGTTTCAATCCATTCTCGTTTACTGGGTATATACAATGTTATGATATTTGCTGGATTCACCCTGCATCCGATTTTCGTCGTACGA